ATCCTTTGATCACCAGGAAAACAAAGTCTTTTCTGCCTTTGATCAGACCCACCTTTGGATCCACTTCCTCCAGAGCCGCTCAGGGTCTACCCAGAGTGTTACGCTAAGTGCTGTTTCAGAAGGTGCACACAGGGCTGAGAGTTCCCGATGGCTCCTCTCCCCTTCCTTGCTCTGAAACTTTGCTACCGATGATTTCTCGAACCTCTCTAACCTGTGGGCGTCATCTTGACTCCTTGCCAGCTGTGGGGCATCTCCTGGCTGCTCCCACACAGCTCCGTGAACGTGGCATCTTTATTCCTGCTCATCATGAATCCATCCCTTCCACCAGCTCCTCCCCATCTTGGGTTTCTAATTTCCCATCCTGGGTCTATTCTAGCCTTCAGGAAGCCACCTCTCCCCAGAACTCACCTCATCACTGATAGTACCATAAATATTAGCACATCTCAAGTCCGGGTACAGTTTGATTACTTTGGCCCTGACCAGGCAGCGGGGACTCCCAGTCCTTATGCGATGTTTCAAAGGGAAGAAGAAATTTCACCCCAGGGAGGCCAAGGAGGGTGGGTCCATGAATCATGGTGGCAGCATGTGGGCTGACGCAGGGAAGCCTGTGATCAGAGATCAAATATTTGAAATGAGCAGCCAGCATGCCCTAAACCATTCCCATATTTGCTAATAAAAGACATTCATCTAGTTAATGTGCTTTTCACAGTCTCCAAGGCATTTAGCTTCTTGTTTATTATTTACCTCACAAATTAAAATACATAAAATTGGTCACTTGGGCTCTTTATTGGCCAGGTTGCAAGGTTATTAAGTGAATTAAATATTATTGCGCTCACCAGTCAAAAGACATAAAATGAAATTTGGTTTTCAGCAGGCTATTCGTTACTCCAGAGCTAGTATCTAAACAGTCTAAATTGAAAATGATTTTACATGATTGACCAATTAATATGTTTATTTTTGCCTTTAATTTTTTGGAAAGGAAAAGAGCGAGGCAAGGATAATGTGTGTGTTGCTGGCCAGGTTGACCCTGTGTTAGCTTTGTTGCTGTGGTCTCCCCTGCTCCCCTGGGCTCACACCCCATCTTTCCAACCACTGGGATGGGGGTGGGGGTGGGGGTCTTCCAAGTCACCAGCCTGTCAAACCTCAGCTGCCCAGCAGAGGGCGCATGTTTCTAGCTTCGGCCCTACTTCCCTTAACATAAGGACCCCAGTCACCGCTGGTCTCACTTTTTCTCTCCCCTAAGCAGAGAGGGAGTGGTTTTCCTGGCAAAGAAGCATTCCTTTGTACCATAACCCACCACTCCTTCCTCCCATGTTGCCTCTTCTTGATGCTGGCTTTTTTTTTTTTTTTTTTTTTTTTGGTAGGGGGTGAACTGGGAGCCGTGGAAAGGACATGAATTCTCCATTCCTTATGTGGAGTTGAAAATACGCCCTCATGGCTATAGCGGGGAGCATGTCCTGGACAGAAAGAAGCGGACACTAGGAGAAAATTCGAGAACATTCTGATGGTCTCTCGGAGCAGTCGTCACACAAGACTGGCCCGGGGTTGGGGCTGTGTAGGCTTGGGCAGGGTGGGTGGTGGTGACTGGTTCATGGAAGTTTGGGGGATGCTCCTGGCCTCTGGTTTCTGAGTTGGCTGGATAACCTTCAAGACAAAGCACGTGACCAAGCTTCAGACCATACAGGTTACTTCCCTTGGTTACCTGCGTTTTTGCCCATCTATATACTGGGGTCCCGAAAATCAACCAATGGTACAATATGAGAAAGACGACTCCTGACTGCAAGGTTTTTCAGTCTATCTTCAGTAACAAATATACAGGATGTGGGGCGGGGGAAGGAAAAAAAGAATCAGTTAGTACTTCACCAGTTGGAAATCTCTGGAAATTGGTATATATATATATATATATATGTAAAGCTCTGCTACTAGAAATCTCTTCCTTACAAAGAAGCACCAAGGAAGGGTTCGCTTTGATGACCAAGGGGCTAAAGTCTGATGCTTGTTACCTCCCATTACCACTGGGTTTTGAGAAAAAAGCTATAAATCTTTCGCCGTTTAAAAAATGCTAGTGTTAGGAGGAAGAACAAAGGAAGAACCATGAGGGACCAAGATGGATTCCCATCTAGCTAAGTTAGGACCAGTGTCCACCATGCTGGAAACCAAGCTTCTGTGTTACTGCTCTTCTCAAGGGCCCCCTTCCCACCCATTTGCATATTCACTTGCATAGATCTGCATATGTTGTGAATAAATTCTCACTCATTTCAACTTTAAATAATTTGTTTTGATGATTGATTCCTCCCAAAGACTCTTCTGTGACTCCCGTTCATGCCCTCCAGTCCTCAGCCCCCCTCCCTTCCCTGGCCCCCCACACGGTCGGACCCTTAGGTTTCCTGAAGCTGCTCTGAGATGGAGGCATACTGTTTGAATGGGCACTTGGCCAGTCGGATCCTTGGGGCTTATTTTCCTGTGACTCTGGAAGGTTTTTCTGTAGTGAAGTCCGTGATCATTATTAAAGTAACTTAAATTCCTATTCAAGAAAGAAAAAATAATAAACCACCTGATTTAAAAAAAAATGTGCCTTGTGTTACTGAACTCACATGAGTGCACTTGAATTCTAAATTTAACCTAAGTACACTCAAAGGTACAGTTTGTGCATTGTAATGGAATTTGGTCGGCCTGGGGTCTCACACTTGGGAGACGATGAACAATGGGGTTTGGAACCAGAAGAGAAGCTCATTTTTAAAGGATATTTATCTGACTGAGGAGAACATTCCAGCCCTAAATGTCTGTGCCAGACCTCACTGTAAGGGGACCAGCTCTGGCAACCCCCACCCTGGTAGCTGAGTGTAGGCCCTGGGGATGGGTGTCTGGACACCTGCTTTTCAGAGGGCCACTTTCCTGGGAGTCAGATTATGAGCCATCGGGGGTTTGAAGCTGCAGGGGCAGTCCCTCCCCGTGAGGACAGACCAAAGAGAACAACAGGTGTCACAGAAGGTAAGGGCTGTGAGCCAGGCAGGAGGGCAGAGGCAAGGACAGAAGCAGCACAAGCAACTGCTGAAAGGTTCTGAGCCATTTTCTGTTCCACGCAAGATGCTAGCCAAGCAGTCATGGACAGAGCACAGGCCCTGCCCTTGAGCGGCTTTGGATGTGGTGCGGACGGACAGCTGTGAGCAGAAACTGTGACAGCAGGTAGCACGTCGGGGAGAGAGAGTCAACAGGAGTGTGGACTGACACTGCGAGCAAGCGTCATGGACGTGATGGTCAGCATTAGGTCTGGAAGGAAGAGTCTGAGTCTGTCAGGGAGGGAGGGCACCTTGGAGAAAGGGCACATGGTGGCAAAGATGCGAAAGGGCGGAGTGTGGCGTGGGTGAGGGAGGAACGTGGTTTCTTGGTGGGATGAGGAGTGCTTGGTGGGGAGCCACACCAGAGACCAGCGGTGAGTTCTCGGCTCGCACGGTGCATCCGAATCAGCTCAGCTGTAGGTATACGGAACCTGCTTCACCTTCAGGGACTCTGCCTCAAGGGGTCTCAGCTGAGTCCTGTGCCTTGGAGCTTTTCAAAGCCAACATGCAACCAGCCCTGAGGACCTCTGCCAGGATGGACGAGTTGGGCAGCAGAGGACGCTCACAGGTGTTTGAATCTTGCAGTGACACTGGCAGTCAGGCTGGCATTTTGGAAATCTCCGTCTCGTGGGAGGTTAGAGAATGGTGGGGAGCTGCTGAGGGGAGTTTTGGGGAGAGGGTGGAGATGCCCAGACAGGTTAAGGGCTATTGCAGTAGACCACAGCTCCTGGGTCTGTGGCAGAAATGGTGGGAAAGGGGAGAGGGCACAGATTAAGGAGATATTTAGGAGGAAGGATCGGCAGGAATTGAGGGGGCTGGGTAGTAAAGGGAAGGGTCCTTTCATGGTACACTTTAAAGCTGGTTGTCCTGACAGCAGCTTCCTCTGGGAAAAGGGCCCCAGAGTTTATGTTTGTCACATGACATGACAAGCTCTGCTTTTCAACTTAAAATTCTCAGGAATTCAAGGATCATTAAAGCCAGAACATGCTGAATGAGCCAGGAAGAAAGAGTAAGAATGACTCAAGGCATTGTGAGCAAGGAGATGTCAGGAAGGACAAGCACCAGGTGTGGTGTGGGAAAAGAGAATACGTGGCGGGGGAGACATGCAAACGGACCCACAGCAGGGCAGGAAGAAAAAAGTCTAAGTGATGAAAAGCTCTGGGCAAAACATAGTCATTTGCTGGAGGAGGTCCTCTGCTAACAAAATTTCCAAATCATTCCGGGGGCGGTGAAGAGGATCAGGAAGGAGTTTCTGTCAATAAAGAGTGCAGATCAATATGGTCAGGGCCAGCCGACCCCACGGAGTAGACATGCTGTACCCAGACAGGCCAGGAGATGGCAGTGTTGTCCCATTGGGAGCATCTCCCTTCAAGGCCACTTTCCAATCCTCTATAAAGGGGAGTTCTGGGGGCCCTCAATTTTCTTCCTTCCTGAGTAACATGGCCTGGAGAATCAGCTTAGTAGGGATGGCTCAGCATCCAGCCCATGCCTGGTGGTGGTGCAGGTAATGTTACTGCTGGACTAACACACAAAACAGGAAACTGGGAAATACATAGAAGAAATTGCCTAGTGAAACCAGGACTCTAATCCCCCCACTTGGTCTCCCGGGCTGGTGCTGAGACAGCAGATGGGTCCACTGGCATGATGAAAAGTGAAGGGGGCACCCCCAGAAGAAATTTCAGGCAGCTCCTAATGTGTAAATGAATCCACTTCCCAAAGTCCTTCTGTTTAGTTGGTTGTTTCTATGGGGGGAGGGGAGGCGGAAATGGGGAATGGGTAGAATTCCACTTCCAATGTTATATAAAGAAGTCAGGTTCCCAGGTTAGCCCATAAATGCCTGTTTATTCTCTAATGCCCATGAATTGCAGTGCATGTATAATGACAGAAATAGAAAATGACAGCATTGCAGTATCGTAATTTAAATAAAGGAAGGAAACAAGATGGAGTGGAAATGGTTCTTTATTTGGGTAAGTGAAGAAAATTAGGTTTAATTAGACAAGGATAAGGAGGTGGGTGAGGCTTGCTATAGAACATCTGAAGGAGTCATCTAAGTACTCTGACGTCTTAGGGGCAGAGCCCTTTACTGTTTTCAAAAGGTTCTGACTCAAAGGAGGTACTGCAAGCTAACAGTCTTTGAGGAGCCCAGATCTGCAGATTAGCCTGGACCACGAATGCCCGGTGTGTGGAAAGGGCGCTAGGATAGCATCCTGAAGACTTTGGTTTCCATTCCAGGTCTGGGTGAGTTGCTCACCTTCTCTGGGCCTCATATTCTTCATTTATAAGATGGGAATGACCTCAGTCCCTGATGTACTCCCTGCAAGAATCAAATGAGATCCTGAAAACACTCTTATGTAATAGGTGGTAAGAGGGCTTGGATCTTTAGTGCTTATAACTTCAATCAAAACGTTTGCATTTTCTTTCTTCTTTTTCCTCTTCTTTTTTTTTCCTTGATAGCCGTGTATCTCTAGCCAATTCTAGGGTGTATGTGCTATGGATCGCCACCAATGGGATTGTTACAGCTCACAAATGGAAGAAAGATAAAAGGCAGAGTGAGAAAGAATCAGACTGGGATTCCTTGGGGGATGATATGAATTGAGCTGTACATGAACCCTCCATGGCAGCGTTTCCCCAGTGGTGTTCCTTGGGACACTTGCCCCTCCAGATCTGCCAAAAAAAGAGGTTTCATGGCCAAATAAGCTTGGGAAAACTCTGAGTTAAGGGGAGTTACACTAGTTTCTTTACTATAGTACCTGTTAGAACCTTTAATGTGAGGCATGACTGCAGATCTCATGGGGTAGAGAGGGGAAGTCATGTTATATAGTATTTTGCAAACTTATTTGACCATAGAATTTTTGTTGTTGTTGCTTTCTGAGTAGATAATATTTCTCAAGGTGTGGTTCAGGGACCACTGGCAATTACCTAGAGTGCTTGTTAGTAGAACAGGTGGTCCGGACCCACCCTAGACTTAGTAGATCTATCCGAAAGGCAGAGGGTTGGGGAATCTGCACATGTAAGAAACACTCCAGTCATCCCTTTTCTTTTTTCCCCCTAATCAATACATTATTTAGCGTATGGTATGTACTTAGCTCCATTCTCGTTATTGGAAATAAAGTGGTGAGTAAGATAGTTACTCTTCAGGCCTCACAAAGGCTACTTCTAATGAGGATGGGATGGGAGGGGAGAGCAGGAAGACAGGAACATACACAGTGCAGCATAGTCTGATTTTGCTGTGATCCAGAAGACTTGTGTGGTTAGGGAAGCTTTCTTGGAGGCCATGATGTAAACTATGAAATACTTCACCAAAAATATGTAATGACAATTAAGACTTAAGGTTATGAAAATCCCTCATATGTCAGGTGAGCATGGCAGTCTTGACCCTGAAGGATTCGTGAACATCACATAAAACCCAGTGTGTCCTTAGCACATTTAGTTCAAAGCCCAGCCATCTAGCTGGACTGACGCTCTAAGGGAAACACCATAGGAAGTGTAGATGTTGACTCAGTCTTTCTTGATCTGGCCACCAGGGTGCACTGTCACACAGGGTGGTTTGGTTGTGCGCAGGAGGGGCAGAGGCAGGGGTGAGTAGGTACCCTACCCATCACATACGGCAAATTGGCAGTATCGGTACTATTATAGGCTGTGCAGTGTGTGGTGAAATTATGGAACATATCACGCCAAGAGGAATAGAAAATGCACATTATTTTCATCCCCTATCTCATTTGATCTGTCTGCATCATCTGACTCTATGGACTTGCTTTCTTCTTGAAAGTTTCTTCTCCTTTGGCTTCAAGGATACAACTCTCTCATTATCTTCCTTCTACCCTTAATTACAACAACCAACGTTTGCAAAGGCTCTATGCTGAACGCTTTATATGCTTTATCTTATTTATTGCTCTGTCCCTGTGAGAGAGGGACTATCATTCACTCTCCTATACAGGTTAATCTTTACAGAGATTAAGTCATGGCCTAAATTCCATAACCAGTGGGAGGTGGAGTTAGCATCAAAATCAGGACACCCTTAGTCCTGAGTCCTAGCCCAATGTGGAAGCAGTGACCACATTGGGCTGTAATGATCGATTAGCTTGTCTGCCTCCCCCCCCCTGCCCCCAGCCAGGCTGTGAGCCCCTCCAGGACCACTCTGTGTCGTTGGCATCTAGTAAAGAGCCAAAAATGGTAATGGAATAAGTAATCTCAAAGAGGGAGTTAGATATATGCATGCTGCATGCATGGCCATTCCCGAATGAAGTATCACAGGTATTTGTCCCCATGATGGGGACAGATAGCTGTATTGAAGGAACTTTTTTTTTCTAGTCCTGTAATCCTGTGACTTTGAATTTGGGAAAAATGCTAAAATCAAAGGGCAAGGGGCCAGCACAGAGAGTTCTGGTGAGTTGAGAGTGCTCAAAGCATTGTCCAGATCCATATGCTCAGCATTGCGGGCAGGGCTGAGCCTGGGCAGGTGGGGCTGGTGGCATTTAGCCCTGGCGTCCCCTCAGGTATGCAGCAGCTGTTCCCTACCTGTGGTTTCTGGACAACAGTCTCTGCTCTATCCTGGAAAGTTTTGGAAGTCCTGGAGGAAAGAACAGAGAGCTGAATAAAGACTGTCTCCTTGGGCTGTCGTGGAGTGTGTGGCAATGGGGAAGGGAGCCTAGGAATCAACTAAAACTACAGGAATGTCAGCCTGCCTTGGGGGAAAGAAGACATAGGGGGCGCCGGTGCCATAGATCTGTCTTCCTAAGCCTTAACTGAAATGTAATGAACACAGAGTTTTGTCGGCCTGTTTGACCACTCTGCCACTCCTGTCCCCACCAAGCATCTGGTAGCTGCTAGCCACACATAGCTGTCGAGCACTTGAACTATGGCTGGTATAACTCAGCTACTGGACCTTTAATTTTATTTAATTTTAATTAATTTAAATAGCTACACTTAGCGAATGGTACCATATTGGACCGTGTAGATAGAGAACATTTCCATCTTCTCTACTTCTATTGGACAGCACTGCTCTAGAGGGCTTCTGCTTAATGGCCGGCTTAGTATCATCAGGGGAGGACTTTGGAGCATTGACATTATCCCATTTCTCAACCAGGGCAAAGGTGTGGTCCCCTTGGAAAAAAGATGGGCATTTACACATACATGTGTGTGTCTTCCTGTCTGGCTGACTATCTATGTATCTAAGTACCTATGTCTCTAACTATGAATGTATGTATCTGTGTATGTATCTATCTGTGCATCTAACTATGTATGTATCTATCTCCCCAGCAGCTACTGTAGAGACTTTGGATCTCCCCCTTTCCCAGCACCGGATTTAATTTAGAGGTCTATTTTTTACTTGGTTTTTGCTATTTTCCTCTTTCTCCTTTAAGAAGACCTTGATTGACCTCACTGAAGGGAATGCTAAGAGTCACCAGGGAGCATCAGTCAGTGTTTTCCCTGCAGTTGGCGCCTCTCAGGTGCCTGGTCTCTGAGGTGTCTGCTCTGCAGGCAGGGATGCGAGAGCATGGTCTTGGTCCTTTGACCTATAACTCTGTCAGGGGGAAGACAGAGCCCTGGGACAGCTGGGTCTTTTGTGTCCTAGTGGGAGTCGCTGCCTTTGTCATTTCTGAGTGATGTCTGGGAGAGGGCAATATTGGATGTCAAGAAAGTAACTGATGCCAACAGGTAAGGAAACCAGGCATGGCCTTTTATTTTCAAAGTCTTTTATTTAAATAAATTTTTCTTTTGCATGTGTTTGAATTTTCCAGAAAAAAAAAATACTGACAAATACTATACAGCTTGGACCATTTATACTCTTTTCCAAAAGGTGACTGCCCTTTTTCTACATTTTCCCCTCCTCCAAGAAATAAAAAGGCAAATACATTGAACAGAGGGGAGAAGGCCTCCTCTGACGGTGGTGGCCGAGTTTGGCAGGAGCTGTTCCGATCTCAGCCTGGGGGCTCCTCCCCAAGCCTGTGCTGGTTTAGGAAACCTGTTCTTTATCAGTCTTCTTGCCTCCATTAGCTTAAACTCTCCAAGATGGGCCAAGCAGTCTCGGGTCCCGAGGCACCCTTGGCTGCCGGTGGCAGTTCTGGGGTAGAGGCTGGGGAGAAGGAGTAAAAGCGAAGAGGAATAAAGAAAGGGCTGGACCTGGGATGGTGGTGCTGGGAGGAACAGGAATAATAGAAGATAAAACAGGGCAGAAAGATGAGGATGAGTGGGGATGACAGGGAATGGCTCTGATGATTGCCTTGGGCCCCTCGCACAGACCCAGGTATTCAACAGAAGTTTGGGGGCCAAGGGCACCCCGGGCAGTGTTGGAGGGACCCTGGTGGAGGTTGTCAGGGGAGGCTGGGGAGGAGAAAACATAAGCCTCACTCAGCATCTGGGTCTCCTGAGTCCTAGGCTATGGAAGCAACAGAGAAGTGGGTTTCTGGGTGTTTCGCGCCTGGAGGTAGTTCAAGTCCATTTGATTAGGAGACAGCAGGGCGGTGCCCCTGGAGACAGAGGCCTTGTCATGGCAATGACAACCAACTGCGGTCTTAATTCAAACTAGCAGCCAGTTGCCATGACAACCGTGTTACTTGTGTGGTCCCTGATCTGAGGGATCCTCTCTCCTAGATCACATCTGACACCCAGCCTCAGCCGTCAGCTCTGCGTCTCCCTAAGTCATCCATCTTAGGGGGCTTGAGAATTGGAGGCAGGAAGGGCAGCCGGTCCCAGTGGGCAGTGGCCGACGCGGGGAGGCACGTGCATTTGGTGTGGGGTGATGAGCGGTCATCCTGTGATGGGAAGGGGACAGCTAGATGCTCCCTGACAGGCTGTCCATGTACAGGGGGGACAGAGAAGCAGAGAGTGCTTCTTTCTCTGCTCAAAGGGGTTAAGGAGTAGGGGGTCTGAGTGCCCAGGGCATTTGGGGCCCCTTGGTATGAGAAGGTGGGTGTGACTGGTTCTAAAATACATGAAGGCCTGAATTATGACCCACAGGGCGGCCCATTAGAAGACCTTGGTGCAACGGTCACCACCAGACGCCTGCCCTCCTCAAGCCTGGAGTCTACCTGCAGGGCACGTAAACACCAGGCAGCCTAGCAGAGCGAACAGCGCGTACATTTGTCCATGAACACAATCTTGCAGAACAGCTATCAAAGTTTAGCTACATTGTTAATTAAATTGCAATTTTACTGCCATTTAGAACAGCTTTTGTGGGGAAATATTTCAAGAGAGCTACCCAGCAGATTTGCAAGTGACCTTTCAGAGCACAACCCGCTCTCAATTTGGGAAGTCTCCATCTTTGTAATACGGTCACAATACAATCAGAATACCAACCAGTTTGTCATGTAAATGGATTAACTCAGCCTCCCAACCTCAGCCTGCTGGGGAGACAGACACTCTCCTCAACTCCCTGTGGATCTAGTCTACCTGTCATCATGGGTCTCAGGGCATCCACGTCAACCTGACTGTTGGTTCTGCATGCAGCCTCTGGGGAGCATTCAATGCCCACCTTCCATCCTTTGCAACAATTAGTGGTCTCAGAAAAGAAGGTCACTTGGGGGGATCAGCGAGGTATCACACATTTACCCTTAACATCATTGCATATCCAACAGCAACCACAGACAGTTCTAAGTATCTACTGTGTGCAAGGCACTTGCCTGAGCTTTGAGATAAATATGACTAAACCTCTATATAGCTTTCTTCTACTTTCATTTACACTCTATAACTTCTGTATCCCATCTGCAGCATACCATGCATTTATTACAACCTTATGAAAGTGTTTCCAGTGGGCCTTCTGGGAGACTGTACCAGAAATTTTCTTAATTCCTTCCCTGCTGAAAAGCTTTGGTTACACAGGAGATCCCTAGCTCGGGTGTAACATCCCTTTCCTATCTGTAAAACAGACACTGCCCAGGTCCACAGCTGCAGTTCACTGAAGTGGATGGAGTATGCCTGGTTTCCAGAGAATTCTAGAAGTCACTTCCAAGAGCTGTTTGTGTTTGGATAAGGGCACCTTGTTGAGTGGTTCTGGGGGTAGCATCTCAAAGAGAGGTCTTAGACAACATTAGATACCTATCAGTGGAAATGGGAACCTTGTCATGAGTTGCAAGATGGTGCTTTCAATGAATTTTGATCCTTCTCACTTTAAGCTTTGCCTCCCAGATGAGAAACATGGGAACTTTGTGTGTCTGTATCAATACACAGGGATGGGAACTGTACCAGGTTGCTGGAATGTCCAAATATGAGGATTTCCAGTAAAACGTTATGGAGGAATAGGAACAAGAAAGCACATATCTCTAACCTGAGTGGTAGATGGGTAGACAGTGCAGAGGTACCTTGCCTGGTTATATAATTGTGCATGTGTGCTAGAATCTGGCCAGGCCTTCCTATGAGACATTTTTGGGAGAGCAGATAATGTACTTGCACAAAGTAGATATTCAATGGATATTTGATGAACAGAATATATTTGCCCAGGTACCTGTTGCCTGAATGTGTGTGTGTGTGTGTGTGCATGTGTGCACATTTGGGAGACATGTCAAGATGTATGGACAAACATTCTTTGTGCTTTTGCATATGGAGCTTGCTAGAGATAGGTGGAAGGCATGCCTGAGTCTGTGGCAAAGAGCACTGCTATTGGACACATAGCTGCCAAGACAGTACCCAAGAATTGTCCGTGTTCTTCCCGGGCTGTCCTCCGGTGGGGCATCCAGCCTGAGGTTTGTCCCTTGGTTAGTTCCTCTGTGGACATGAGCGCGTCACTTTAGGGATTGCTGCTCTCTAGCCTGTGTGTACTTAGAAGGTGGCTTAGCCCCCGAAAAAGGACGCCTATGCTTCCTGCCTAACTAGACAGGCAGTGATGGCCTCTTTTCCATCTGGAGAAGCTTGGGCTGAGCAGAGATCCAGAGGTCTTCTTCAGCCTTCTTCTTCTTCTTCCTCTTCTTCCCCTTGTTTCGCTCTGGCTGTTGGCCATTCTTGCCTGGCCGGCTCCAGCAGCAATGACAACAGATGAAGAGGAACGTGATGACCACTAGCAGTGGCAGCCCCAGAAGGATGCCCAGGCAGATGGTGTTGAAGAGGCCCTCTTGGTGTTTGGTCAAGATGGTATCCCAAATGAGACTGAAGAAGGAGCTGATTTTCTCCATGGTGCTTGGCTAGACTGGGGCCAAAGGAAACTCTCAGCTCACTAGCAAGTCCTGGGCTCAAGAGGACGCAGCCTTGTCCACTTGTAAGTTTTTCCTCTTCCAGCTTTGGGTTTGGGCATGCCAATGTTAGCAGCTGAAGAGAGCAAAACAGACAATTCAAGAGAAACGCAGCAGGAATGGTCTATGATTTTTAACAACATCATATTTTTTAAGCTTGGGAAAAGGGAGGGAATTGGAGATTTCCAGAGTTCACTGAAATGGTATTGAAATTCAATAAATAAAATAAATGCATGCATTTAAGTAGGTACTAACGAATTCTTATACACACTGTATAGGGCTTAGTGTACAAGAATTAATAGTATGTCAGACCCAGCATGTAGCAGGTGCTCAGCATTTGCTGGATAAATGAATCAAGTGTAGATTCAGTGTTCTGGGTAGGGGTTGGTGCCTCTACAAGAGCAGCTCTCAATCTTTTCTCCCTGCAGCTCACCTGATAGATGCCGAACACATACTACTCATGGGAGAGCTGTATGTGACTTTCTATGAATGCAACTTGCCATTTTCAGTACTTACTAAAGCTTAAGCACAAGGTGAAATGTCTAAATCTTGCTGCCTGTCATAGGGGGCTTCGATCTCCACCAGGCTGTGGTTCTTGTCCTGTCTCACCCCTGCCTTCATGCTCTCTTCTCTGCTCCATCTCCTCCCTCCTTACATCCCACTCCTGTGCCCAAAGAGGACTCACCGAGCCTTGCAGTGGGAGACCATTTGCTGGTTCCCTCTGTTTCTACCATCCTCTCCCTCATTGTCCTCATCTCTGCTTCCTGTCCCTCAACCAAATATTCCCAAGTCTCCTTCTCTGCCTGTTCCTGTTCTTTGCAGTGGAAAAGGAGTCTTGCAGGCTGCTCAGCAATGGTGTTTGGAAACTGGGATGGGATCCCTACTGCCATCCTGAGCTCAACTTACAGCCAGGGCTGTTCTGGTCGCTTGTACAGAGTGGCCCTTCTTCCACTGGTACCCCTTTCACCTCTCCACATACATCTTAGGCCTCAGCTCTTGAGTAGGAAGTCTTAACAGGCTCCTTTGGTTCTGGAATCCACAGATTCTTGTGTCTAAAGACTTGGAGGGCAGCATGTTTCAAGGAAATTCAAAAGACCTTTTGGTACAGACACGGCCTGGGACCCAAAGATCAAAGACTCATCGATTTTCAGGCTGGAGACCTTAGAGGTCATCCCAACCAATGCTCTCGCTTAAAGATTAAGAATCTGAGGCCCAGTATGGGGGAGGTGATATGTCTAAGGCCACGCAGAGATGCACCGAACACCCAGAGTTCGGGACGATGACATTACTTTATATTTGCATTTTACTCGCTACTTTTCTAATCACTTTCATATGAATTATATTTTTTAAAGAGAGCAACAGGATGGTGCATTGTCTATGCAGAAAAGCGCTGGGGGACCTGGGTTCACAATCAGCATGAAGTCCAGGCTTCATTCTGTTGTCCTGCACTGGGACACACATGTGTGTCCCCTCCTGGGTAGTGTGTTATACTCGGGGGTTGTCTTCAGAAGCCTGATTCCTTGGATAGCACTCTGTAAGTGTCCCGTGTACCCGTGTGTCCTTCCAAGTCCACCTGAACCCAGTCCTAGTCTGCTGGCATTTAGACTCACACATTGTGTATACAAATCATTCAATTGTATAAATTGGTACCTACTCCCTTGCCGTCTGGTCCATGAAAATGAAGTAATGCTAAGCAATGGCACTGAGATCCCAGTCACCATTCTAGGCACTTCTCCCCAACTGACTCATTTCATTTCATCACAACTTAATGGAGGAGGTACAGTTATTTCCCTCATCTTGCAGGTGAACAGGCAGAGGCACAGATCACACACCAAGTGACTGGCAGAGCTGGCTTTACTGATTCTGGAAAGTTTGGCTCCAGATCCCCGAGGGGTGAGCTCCTCACAGGTGTTGCTCTGAGCCTCCTATTCCTTTGTGTGGAATTAACACATTTTGGCAAGTAGCCCAGGATTTATAGACTCTTACAATACGTGGCCATTCCCCGGATTGACTTCAATGTTTATCCCAATCTGTTGTGGAAAAAGACTACAGAGTGATTTATTTCCCATTGTCAGATACTTCACAAATGCAGAAGATACATACAATAAAAATCCAGTCCTGCTCAAGTGGAGGTTTATAGAAAGCATATGACTGCCTGAACTTAAACTCAACATGCAACAAAGAAAAACGTTCTGAGAAGTCACATCCCCTTGCCAGAAGCTCTGCCTGAGCCCCTTTGAGGCCCTGGGAATATCACATGCCATGGATCTGCCCACACACCATCAAGCCCACAGCCTCTTTGTTGAGAAAACACACCCTTGAGCATCCTCTAACTGCCCCCATCCCCCATCAAGGCCACTCCACGGTCTTGCTCCTTCTCACCCACTTGTCTCTCTGGCCTTTCCTTCTTGCTTTGCCATCACCTTAGCTTTTACTCCAGCCCTTGTTTGGCCCCAGAGTTTTTTGGCCCATCTGGAGGGAATGTCCTGCTCTGTTGAGGGAAGACTCTGGGTATTTTTCACTAATTTGATTCACACGTATACTTTTCTGGGACCAAATGCGCCTTGTACTGCATGTCTATGACTCAGATTAGACACCACCACCATATTTGTTGACAAACTCTTCTTGCCAGATGTCACACTGGTCCCTGCAGGGAGCATCATGCATCAGGGGCCCACTTTTGGATTCAACCAGGGAGAAAGAGGAAGGGCTTTGAGCCCTTGAAGAATATCAGGGCATTTTTTCATGAAGATAGAGCCATCTGAGGAGGACCTGGAAAGAGGAGCCGGATCTTGACAGAGAAACATGGGTAAAAGGATGTGCACAGATTCTAGGCAGAGAAACTTTTAGAACATGGCAGGAGAACAGGGTGCCTTCTGGTGAGCCTGGGGCTCAGAGTGTGAGAGAGGAGGACTGTAGGTTGTGGCCAGGATAGAGAGGGCCTCCATGGGGTGTGTGTTTATTTGGGGGCTTTGTAATAGGAGGATGCCCTTCAAGAAAAGATAACGGGGTGAGAACAGCCCTGGAAAATGTCTTAAGAGAGCTCTTTATCCATTTAATGAACATTTATTGAACACCTAATACGTGCCACACACTGTGTTAGCTGTTAGGATTCAGTGATGAAGGACAAAGACACGGGGACTTGTATTTTCCAGGAGAGTTACTATTATTCAGGGATCATGTTGTAAAAGACAAATATAATAAGCAAATTTCAACTTAGGTTGCTTAGTTGGCCGAAATAGAAGCATGCATTTGAATTATGTGTTTATCTCAGTGTCCCAGGCCCTCCTACCACTCCCAACCTTTGTCTCAAATTCGTCTATCCGATGACACCTAAAATAGCCTTTGAATAAATAGATTTCTTTTCAAGCTAAAGCTAAGTCAATAATTCACTTTTGGACTCCTGAAGGTACTTATTTGAGTCTACTCTCCATATAGCCAAGGAGAGTATTCATTAACATTTGGGAGCCCAGTCTGGGGAAAATTCAATTAAAAAGGTATTCTTTGTATTTTTTAATCTAAGAATTCTCTTCTAGGCTCCCCCAGTTTACTTGCTGAGCTCTGCTAATCTATACTGTTTCGTTAGTGTTTATGAGCCTCACATTGTTAGCATTTCCAGGAAACAATCAAATATCTCCTTGGTGGTATGAATTAAAAGTTAAAGCTTCCACAGAATGTTTTGTAAAAGGAGCCACACTTTGGGCCTTAGGAATGCTCTCTGGGAGACTCCATCATTTTGCTGGATCTCAAGTATTGCTGACACTGTTTGAAAGGTAATTAGTCTACTCCTCCAAAACCACAATAGGTGCCAACAAACTTGATTGTGTGATTGTTGTTATGGGGGAGGGTGTGTGGAGAAAGAGGAGGGGAAATGTTACTTTTAGTTTCCTTAAAACCAGAAATGACTCATCCTTATATCCTCTGTGGTATCTCGCTGGGGAGAGAGTCATTCATTCATTCTTTCTTCCAAGAGGCTTCAATCTGTCCGTATGTAAGGTGTTGATTGGTAATAATGATCGCAGAGCCAGAAGACCTGGGCCAATCTGTGCAACCTTGGTGAGTTACCGAACCTCAGCTACAAAATGAAGCTAATGAGCTTCCCTCTTAACGATGTGAGGATTAAAAGAGCTCAATATATTTAATGCATTTTGTAAAGTGTAAAATGCTATAAAACAATCTATGAAATAGTGAGTTATCTCCAGATAACAATGGACTAATTCTAGCCTTTCTTTCTCCCTCCCTTACCTCCAAGCCCAATTCTCACCACCAAAGCACCATGGGCCCCCATCCCATTCAAATGAAAAGAACTTCACAGGTAACCTTGCTGCTTATGGCTGGTCTGAGGGCCTGTGGCTGTAATTCTAGACTCTGGCATCCAGCAACAGAGTTGCTTGGGGACATCTGTTGGTGTCTGGAGGATTGTTGAGCTCATAAAGTAAGGCCTGGGGAGAACACTTAGCCCTCTGTGGGCCGAGGCTCCCTCCCAGCCTTTGGAATCCCTGAAAGTGTACATGGATCATCCTTCCCCAGAGAGGTCTGATCCATCCTTGAGAGACAAGAGCTGCTCCAGAGTTGGCAGGAGTTGGCCAGGCTGGCCCTTGGGCTGGTTTTCCTTCTGGAGCCCCCAGGCAGGGGGCAGGGCATGCTACTTTGCATTGTCTCTCTTTGATCCTGTTTATTCGATGAAATAATACATGTAAAGCTGTAAAGTAGTGTCTGTGGGATAGGAAATGCTTTCTAGAAAGGCTAATGATAAAGATCATGATGGTACCCAGTTAAAATCCCTAAGAGCAACTCCACAGTGACCTCCACATGGTCTAAATCTTTTGCCTTCTAATGGGGGGTGGGCTGAGGTGGGAGGTTCGGGTCTCCCTTTGACCCTTCAAAGACTCCTCTACTGCAGCTGCAGGCTCCAGGCTATGCATGGGTGGCCTTGAGGGGGTGGGGCAGCATCTTATAATTGAAAGTTGGCAGCAAAGACCTCCCTTGGCCTTTCCTCAAGTGATTTCATTGAGTTTTCTACCTTACGCTGTGGTTATCACTCTGCTGCTTTATCCCTTCACCCAAGGAGGGACT